CCCCGGTTCCAGTGAGAGACAGCGCAGCTGTCTGACGCCACTCGTATAGGCCGCATGTATGTTACCTACGTCAGGGACTGTATACGTCCCTGTCTATATCTACAAAATTTGATGTACAATCGTTGTGGCAGACCCAGGGAAACAACTGCCAGTAACATGGGTGAGTATGTGAAGATAATACAGAGAGTATATAGGTATGTGTACAGCAGATGGCTTACATTTGTAGGTNGTCCCTGTCTATATCTACAAAATTTGATGTACAATCGTTGTGGCAGACCCAGGGAAACAACTGCCAGTAACATGGGTGAGTATGTGAAGATAATACAGAGAGTATATAGGTATGTGTACAGCAGATGGCTTACATTTGTAGGTTAGGTATGACTACGATGTCGCCGGGTAAAAACACAGGTGCTCGGGTTCTGGAATACATGTATGTGACATATAATCGCACCCACTAGATATCGCAGATTTATTAGTATAAGGGGGTCTGATATCTAGTGTGTGCGATTATATATCACATATATTCCAGAACCCGAGCACCTGTGATTTATTAGTATAAGGGGGTGCGATATCTAGTGGGTGCGATTATATATCACATATATTCCAGAACCCGAGCACCTGTGGATAAAAAGTATGCGGCTGCCGCTTTTGAAAAATCTGACAGTCAAACGAAGCTTTTAGTATGTTTGTTCTGAATACAACCTGGACACGACACGTTTATTCTTTTGAGCTTTTTAGATACTGAAATATTTTAGCATATCTGTCATGTTAAGCACGGAATTTATCCATGCAAATGAATTGTGCATCATATGGAAATTCCCAAACAGACCAGATGTTAACTAACCAATCAGATGGCGCCAAACAGAAACACCTTTAATTCTTTCCAACACGTGCTTTTGTTGACATTTGCATGCAACAACTTTCCGGTGTAAAATAGTGAGATCAGTGATTTTTTTTAGCGAGATTTGTTAAAAAAAATCACTGAATTACTTTGTAACTGATGATGAGTCAAAAGACTCACAGTAATAAAAACTTGAACTTGGTACATTGTGGATTTTGGCTTTTGATTCAATGTGCTAGAAATACCAGATATCTTAAGAAGCAGCCGCGATTCTGTATTCGTATCTGTAAAAAACAGTTGAAGTTACAAATGACTGTCATAGGCGGGTACACAATCTACTAATGGCAACAAAAAACAAGCAACATAAAACTGTGGAACAACATTTTATAACAAGTTAGTGTTCAACGAACGATCACTTGAATACACTAAAAGGAATTCCCCACATTGAACCGCACAAACAAAAGCTTCGTAAATAAAAGATTCATATTTTTTTTATAGATTGTTCAATGTGTCAGCTAATTTGTTGTTATTATATTTGTGCAGTCTTATATTGGTTTTGGTTGATGGTAAGTTATTTCTCGTTATTCTGTAAAAAATTGTTGAAATGTGGAAGTTCATTGCATTACAAGGTTTACGTTACAGTATGTCTCCTTCCCTCTTTGGAAGTGGAAAAAAATTGTCGAGGAGATGTGGCTTCATTTGCATACAACATTTTCGTACGTTTGTCAGACTACTAAAAAGACCCGATTCGATCATGAATGAAATGTTTCCCTGATTTTTCAAGTTTGGGTTAATTTTGAGCAAGATAAAAAGTGCATTAAGCAAAACTGCATATTTATGCATGTTTTTTAATCAGTGATTAACTCTAATGTTTTCCGGACGAACTTCCGGTAATTTTTGTGTCAGTTTATCGACGATGGACAAACATCTAATTATCCTTGTGTATTGCCCACCAGGTCATGTAGTAACGAGACACAGCTTGATAAAATATCTGTGTGGAAATATGTAATGCGCGGAAACCTATGACAAGACGATACTAAAAGCTTCTACAATGCTATCATCATCTGAGAACCAATTTCAAGGCTCACAGTGTTTTCCTGTTCTTTGCCCTTTTTTGATGCGTATCTCTCTGTGCATATAACAAGTTTGTTTATGTCATTCTTTTTTTGTTGGTGAAAGTACATGTACACATTCGGATTACCTCTGGTGAGGACATTTATTTAGAAAATAAAGTTAAAACAAGTACATACAGAAAAGTAGCTTTTCTACTATAACATGAACCATTTTTATACAACCGTCAAATTTGACGATAGTATTATGGTATGGTGTTGTCCGTCCGTCTGGCGTAAACTTTGTTTGTCCGGCAATCTCCTCCTACATTTTTTAACCGATCTCTGTGAAACTTGGTACTTAACCACAAAAAGGTCCATGGAAAGTTCTACAACATACAAATTTATTTTCAAAAAGGATTTAAGCTTTAGTGATAATTTAGTCATGCTATGTTGTGTTTTTCTTTGGCAAAGATACAGTTTTTGGATTGTTCTTGGTGTTTTACCCAACCCAAAGGATTAAGTCCTTCTTCCAGCTTGTATTTCTTGTACTCTTCATCTTTATGCTTGATTGCTTCCCGAATAAAATTTCGGGGAGCAAATAGTCGCTACTCTGTCCGTCCATTCGTCTGTCCAGGGCAATAACTTTGGACTTACTGAAGAAAGCCCAATCAAATTTTAAGTGATATAATGTATATGTATATGTACATGAAGCATGGCAAGACAATGTGTAACATGTCACTTTGCCCAAGGTCAAGATCACATTGAGGTCAAAGATTTCATTCCTGAACATAACCTCTGACTCACTGAAGATAATTCAATGAAATTGTAGGAATATATGCAGGATGGCAAAGTGATGTGTCTTGTACCTTATTTAGGTCTGTATGTCCAAGGTCAAGGTCGCAGTTAGGTCAAAGGTTTAATACAATGTCTAAGTGATGTCTTAACTTATTGACATAGATGTATATCTTCATGAAATTAAAGGGATGCATGCAGAATGGCAAGACGGTGTGATGTATACAACTATTGGTTCTTAATTCTTGGTAATTGTCCAGTGTTGTGTACCAATTTGTAATTAATAAAGATGGCCCAACAAAAATTTATGGATACATGTACATGAAGGATGGCAAGTTGTGATATGTGTTGTGTTTAACTATCAGGTTTGTTTGGCTAAGGTCAAGGTCACATTGTGAGGCACGGTAGTCTCGTGACCGAAGGGTTGCGGGTTCGAGTCAGGACAAGGAACTGTGTTGTATCCTTGAGCAAGATACTTTACTCCGCTTGTTTCAGTCTACTCTGCTGTAAATGAGTATGTGGTTGGGCAGTGCTAGAATTGTAGAATGCCAGCTGTGAGTGCCGAAATGGCAGCACCGTCTGTATGCTCCCCAGGGAGTTGAGAAAGATATTGGCTGGTCACAAAGGCCCTATAACCTTGGATAATAATTTGTGAACCGCTTTGAGACGACCTATGAACTAGGTTGTGATAAAGCGGTATATAAGAACCTCAAATTATTATTATGATTATTATTGAGATCAAAGGTCAAATTTGTTGTCCTGGCCATAGCTTCTGACCACCTGAAAATATCTAAATAAAATATTTTTATATGTGTAGGATGGACAGGCGATGCGTTCTATACCACAGTTGGATCTGTGCACCCAAGGTCAAAGCCACGTGTTATATTAGGATCAAAATTTAAATCAATTTTGCCGGTGATGACTTCTGGCTTTCGAAAGAAAACTTTTTTGCAATTTTAGTCATATGTGTATGTAGGATTGAAAGGCATTGTGGCATACCACTTTTTGGTTTTTACACCCAAAGTGAAGGCCACAGTCATGGAGATCAAATGTCGAATTCATTTTCTTTGACAGAACTTCTTGATTGATGAAGGTAGCTTCACATTTCAAAGAAATATGTAGAATGGCAAGGCTTTGTGTTGCATACCATTTTGGGGTCCATGTGTCACAGGTCAATTTCTTATAAGTTCAAAGGTCAGATGTTGAAGATTTAAAAGTAACACATAACCTTTATTCCAGTCTCGGTTTTCGGGGAGCATAATCCATCAATTTTACTGATTTTTTCTTGTTCAAATAAATTTTCTGTAAAGTATGTTTTTCTTTTCTTTTCTTTTATCAAAGCAAGCAATTCATGCTAAAAATAATTTTCTAATGCATATTTACAATTTTTGGCAGTTTTACATGTACTGGGTCTATCTTTTAATACGAAATGAAAATGTTTTAGAATAAACAAATACATGAACATGTAGAACATAAAAATAATACTTAACATACTTATTCTTTGTTTTATAGGAGAACTGTTGTATGGGCAATGTTCCAGCTTCCAGTCCTTGAATTCAGAACAGCTCAACAAAACACCAGACATTGACAATATGGTGGAGGCTGGATTCGAATTCACAGGTACTTTAGCTTATAAATTCTTCAATTATAATTATATATATGATATATATATTTATGCTCATTTACATTACCTGTTATAACTGTATTTCCCCAATAATCATGAACAATTTTTGCAAAAAGGCCATCTTTAATGCAACTAGTTAACTAGAAATGTAAATGTCCTTTTTATTTTAGCTCATCTGGCATGAAGAGCTAGTTGAGCTTATGATATGGTGTGTTGTACGTCGTCTGTCTGTCGCCATCAACTTTTTTTTTGAACGACTTAAGAACTGGAGGACCTAGGGTCATGACTTATTTTCCAGGTCTCAAGGGTCAAATTAATATGTAAAAAACTTTAGCAAACACTTCTTCTGAACAACCAGGAGGCCTAGGGTTATGATACATGGCCAGTAGGTACCGGACATAAAGTGCTATAAACTTTCCTCAAATAAATGACCTTGACCTACATGTACTTCCAAGGTCACAGGGGTCTAATATGTAAAAACATTTAAAAAAAAAACTCCTTCTGAATTACCAAGAGGCCAAGAGTTACGATACTTGGCCAGTAGGTATGTGGCATTTAGTGCTATAAACTGTCATCAAATAATGACCTTGACCTACATTCAAGATCGTAAGGGTTAAATATGTTCCAATTCTTTAAACAACTTCCTGTTGGTAACCAAGAGGCCTAGAACAATGATATTTGGGATAGTGCTGTGAAGTTTCTTCAAACAAGTGACCTTGACATACTTTCAAGGTCACAGCGGCAAATAAAAAAACTTTTAAAACAACTTCTTTTGAATAACCAGCAGACATAGAGTTATGATACTTAACCAATTGGTACCTTGGTATGAAATGCTATCAAGTTTCACCAAATAAATGACCTTGATCTACTTTCAAGATCACAAGGGTCAAATATGTTAAAAACCTTTAAAAAACTGATTGCTCAAATATTCAGGTGAGCTCTTATTTATTTTATGGCCAGATAGGAAATTCACTTGGTTATGTGTTTTTAAACAATTTTTTGAATTTCTTAAGGTAATGGCACTTTCCGTTGTAAGACATGTGATGTTAGCCTGGCTTGCTGGAAGCAGACAGATGATGTCTGGAAGGAGCATGCCCGTTACAGTCCCCAGTGTGCTTATCTTCAACAGAAAAAGGGCCCTGCTTATATTGAAAGTGTCCAAGCAGTATTTACCACTGAGGTATTAAACCTACATACACTGTACATGTAGTATGCATGTATACTGAGTCAGTTTAAGCCTTGTCCAGACCAATGTTTCAAAATTATGTGACCAATTACGATGAAACTTCTGAGAATGACACATAGGGGATAAACGTTACATCAAATGGTCCACGTAAAAATATTTTGATTCAAGATATGGCTACCATGGCCTCTGATTGGTTAAGATATTAAAAACTGAAATGGTGGACATATATAAACGTTATTTATTTTACAATGTTTATGAAACAAGTTACCAGGTATTTTTACTTACAATAATCACTCTTGTTGGCTGGGATGCTAGCGTACAGGGGACTTGATGCAGGAGGAAACCAGAGTACCTGGAAAAAACCCATTTGGTCAGGCAGGTGACCCCATACCTTTTCACATCCGATCGGAGAATCAGACCTTGGTGAAAGTTGAGTGGATTTTCCACTAGGCCATCTGACTATCCGATATGTAATTGTAAATTGGAAGGGAAACATTAATATACACGTGTCCTAAAGTTCTAGTTTTTGTTTTGCAGATATTTACACCTAAGAGTCCACAACATTCGGAGTTGGATGCCAGAGAATTGACGTATAGTAACCCTAATTGGCCTGCACAACATGTGAGAATAGCACAAGAAAAACTGGCTAAAGCCAGCTTTTTTTACACAGGTAAAGCTTTAGGTTGAAAGTAGGGACAGGCTTGTACTTTATATAGATAAATAAAGTCAGAACAGTGAGGCAGGGGTGAAGTTAACACAGGTATACTTCCAAGTTACTCAGGTAGAACAGTGAAGTAGGTGCTAGGGTTGTAGTCATCCTCAATACTCCAGTGGTTATAACAAAAGTGAAGGCTCAGTGTGCTCCACCCTGTTGATGAGACAAGAAGACTAGTTTGATCCTTTGATGTATATCAAAAGAATACCTTGGCCAGGTAATAGTAAAATTGACTGGCTTTGAAGCCGGGTGTCGCTCCTCTGTAATCATCAAAGGACATGTATCAGCCTAACGATTGGTCAGTTTTTTGTCTGAGAGTATTCATATAGCTAGCTGCGTGCCTTCAATTTCGCTATAACATATTCCAGGGGTGCAGAGGGCGAACATGAGTGTAACCCCTGGAGTATTGAGGATGAGTTGTAATTGGCACAGGTAAATACTGTACTCGGGTAGGACAATAATATAAGTACAGTTTATACAGATAAATACTCCGGTAGAACAGGGAAGTACGGTTAGGTTGTTTACACAGGTAAATACTGTACTCGGGTAGAAAAATAATATAAGTACAGGTTATACAGATAAATACTCCGGTAGAACAGGGAAGTACCGTTAGGATGTTTACACAGGTAACTATACTCCGGTAGAACAGGGAAGTACCGTAAGGTTGTTTACACAGGTAACTATACTCCGGTAGAACTGTGGGGCATGTTATAGTTTACACATGTAGATATTCAGTGTGTCTTCTGGTATCACTTTATAGATGCCTGGAGATGAAGTTTTGAGTTTGTTAAATCAGAAACCTTGGTCGATAAAATAGGGAAACTCTCCAAAGGTAAAGAAGCATATGTGAAGGTCATAACACTTCTGATGACACAGCTGTAATTTAGCATAGCAAGTCTAATGGCTTGTTATACACTATGACCCGCACTCAGAATTAAAGTCTTAATAAGGAATTTTTTATGTTAAAAATACTGGTAAAAGTTGTCCAGGTCATTACTTGAAAATATTATAATGCTAAATTCCTGGATTGAGTACAGGTTTTGTGGTGATGTTTTTCAATTTAACCAACAGGAAAGGAAGCCACTGTTAGATGTCACTACTGTGATATCAGCCTTAATTGCTTGGAACCCCATACCGAACCCTGGGCAAACCATGCACTTCTGTCTCCATGCTGCAAGTATCTGATCAAGATGAAAGGCGTAGACTTTGTGGAGAACTTCACAGCAACAAAGGATGTAGGTATCAATTCTCCCACAACCAGTATAGGTTTCATCACACCCAGCTCGTTGGATAAACCTGCAAAGAGTTGGTAAATTAAACATTTTTGGTTACCTACTAGTGGGTAACACCCTGTGCGCACGTTTATTGGTCAGTCTTTCAATTGTAATGTCATGTAACAATTCTGCCACTTGCATGTTTTATAAATCATATTGTGACATCATAATTCATGGTTATTGTGTCTCTGATGGAAAACAGGAAAATGTTTCTAGTTATAAGAGTTAAAAGAGATTCCACAACTTGTGATGGCTGATATCCTAGGCTGTTAATTGAAGGCTCCAGTGTTCTCACTAAATTTTGACAAAGATGGTGGACTGGAAAAGAATAGCCAGTTGAATGTTCACATGTATGATGGTGACCAGTTCATATTCTGAAAATAAAATAGCTGATTTAAAGTTCATGAAAAGCAGGCTTTTTTTTGTCGGCGAGCGGCTTTTAAGGAGAACACTGTTCCCATTAGTTGATTTTCGATTGTAAAATGGCACCTTTTTAACCTCATCTGTTAACAATTTGAAAATTAACTAACCTAAGTTAAATAAACATGATAACAAGCTTGAGGTAGCTCAGTTGGTTAGAGCCACAGTTTAATAATTGAAGGCCTAGGGTTCAAGTCATGGTCTGTTCCATTGCATTTTAATATGCAGGCAAACTTCTGATTTTTTTTTTTGATTATTTCATCTTTATTGTTTTTTTCATTTAAGTTCTTCAGAATATGTTTCTTTTCTGGATTTTTTTTATCAAAGCTATAGTCATAACAGAAAAACTTTTTAATGCATATTTAGAGTTTTAGCAGTGGTACATTTGTACAGGGATTCTAAATTCAGAAATCGTATAGTATTAGTACTTAGTGTTGGGAATTGGAAGCGGAAATCATAATCCATTATTAGAAGACTTCTCATGAACGACTTTCGATTATAATCGGAACATCTAAGTTCTGGTAAATCTATTTGAAATATGTGTAATTATGATGGTATATACCACTTAGAATTGGGATTTGAAGCATAAGTTTGCCGTGTAAAATCAAAGGCTGACTTGGTATATATCCATTTGACAGTCTTTTATGCTTTTACACTATTGGTTTTAACCTACTACTAGAATTTGACTTAAAAGTAAATCTGACAGATATCAACAGAAAACAGCATGCAACATTTAAACCAATTAAGCGATTATGAAATTTATCAATCGGTTAATTGCAACTGGTTATACAATTGATTGATTTTCAATTAGAATCAACACTAAGTATAACAGTGGTAATGTTATCCTACTCACATTATCTTATCAATGTAATATTTGTTTATAGATTGGCCTGCCTGTTTCTCCTGTTTCCCTGGATCCATCTACTCCAGTCCGTATTTTGACCTCCATGGCGTACTCGTACAAGGTCATCACAGAAGCCATTGACCAGTATGCATCTAAAACTGGTCAGTCCAAAAGAGCAAGTTTACTACCATATACACATGTATCGGGATATTTTTTCTGTGGTTATATTTTTTGCATGTTGTGCTAGATTCAAATTTGCTGAATATAAACATGTAAAAATTTAATGACTAAAAAATAACCGCAATTATCTTTAATGTTGTGTCGGAGTACCAGATTACTTGATGAATTGTGTTTACAAGAGCTGGCAAAGTCTTAGCTTGCAGTGATAATTGAGAAGGTTCTATTGATGTAGTGTAGGGTGAATAAGAAAGTGTTTACATGTAAAAATTGGTAATTTATTTAATAGGATTTAATAACATATTATTGGACACAGGCATTGCTGCCTCTATATCCACATCAATATAATTAAGGATTGAATCTTGCTTTGGTCGATTTCATGGGGTGATGAATTGAGTTGGTCTTGAAACAAATTTAATGAACTGCGAAGCAGTTTATTTTGAATTTGTTTCAAGCCCAACTCAATTCCTCACCCCATGAAACCGCCCAAAGCAAAATTCAATCCTTATATTTCAATCAACGTTTTTTTTCAATAATTGGAACTTGTGAAGTCCATTCTGATCGTTTGTCCGAGGTTCTGGAGCTTGTGCAATCTACGTATTGATGTAATGTAAAAAAATATAGTGCGTCATTGAAGGACCATAATACAACATTATGGGATACGTTGATAGTTCAATATAGCCAAATCATGTAGAAACAAAACACAAAACCATATTTGAAATGCCATATTCAATTTTTGATGATGAATTCATCAGATATTAAATTTTCTGATGTGTCATCACAGAAGAATATTATGTCTAGACGTGGTGCAAAGGCTCAGCTGCAAGTCTACAGCAATCATCTTTTTATTAGCTCGAAGTGGAGAGCCGCTATTTAATTTTGAGGTTCTACATCTTCTGGAATGTAAAGTTATTGAATGTCGATTTACACAGGAAACCAGACGTGGCTTGAAAGGACGAAACATTTTATATGACATTTGGCTGTCCGACTGTATTTCATACAAGACTGGACCACATGCATATACCACAGGGGTTCGTTACAAATGTCTGAAATACACATATGCTATACTGATATGGGTCACAGCTACACATACACATACATGATACATTTATACACATATGATATACACAGCACACATAAACATACATGTATATGTTTGTTTATATGTGCTGTGACCCATATCAGTTGTAGCATATGTGTATTTCAGACATTTGTAAAACCTGTGGATCTACGTTTTCGTTTTTCTTGTGTTGCTTCAATAAAAATGTGAAATGTCAAGTGGCATCTTTGTCTAAACATATCAATAGTTATCTCCCATCGCAAAATCATACGAACAGGGCAATGCTTATCTGGCCAAATTCATTGGCAAAGGAAACAGGTTACATTTGGTAGTTGCATCGAGTCCAACTTGAGTAGGATTTGAAATACTTTGAAATACAATTCGGTAAACAAAAACTAAGTCTATATAGAAGATATGCTGTATGATCATGCGTCAAATCAATATAGCTTATGACCATGCTTGGGACTACCTATCTATATAGAAGAAGCTGTATGATTGTACTTCAACTCAATATAGCTTATGACCATGTTTGTGACTGCCTAAATGAGTGAAAACAGGAACATATTTCATCTTAAAAATAGAAGGGACAGTACACCATTTTATCACGACAGCTGCAGGCTAAATATGCTGCCAAGCATGGCACAGCTCAGACAATTAAAAAGTTAAATCCGAAGTCATATTTTTGTGCATTGTCCCAATTCACAAAAAATAGAGCGTTAAAAAAAATACTACAGCTATTTTGGAGATTTTTCACAAAAATGTACTTATGTAAGAATATCCCAATTTACGGTATGATCAATTGAAAAATTGTTTCTAAAAAACATAAAATCCTATAAATACTGTCAAGAATTTTCTCAAAATTTGTATGCCAAGTACGTGTAAAGGCAAATTATGTTAATATTTTTTAAGCTGAATGCCTTTGTTTAAATGTCCCATATATCCATTTTTATGTATTTTTTCACTTCAATCACAGTGCAATACAATTCTATTATTCTAACAATTGTGATAAAGAAAAATTCCACATGTTTCAATTGTTTGTCATACAAAAGTATTAAAACGGGGAAAAAAAAATTGTATGGGAGAACATCTTGGGCTGGCAGAGTGTCCAATGATGTACTTGTAGTCCAGTGCCTAACTACATTCTTTGTTCATAGTGTTATTGTCCCCATGCTATTTGTTTGGAGGAGGTAACATATAATGATACTCATGTATGTCGGTCACAGCTACACATACACCATTGTGTCCCATATGTCTCATCATTGTGTCCCATCTTAATTCATTGTCATTGTGACTGACTTTGTTCTGGATTTTGATCAAACTGACCTAGGTTCTTTTGTCGTCATCTCTGTAAACAAACCTCAGATACGTACAATCGTATTTCCTAAACATTTTAACAATAACATGCATTATCATATAATAGAAATTAAAATACAGGTTATCTCAGGGTATGCTCAACTTTATTTCTTTTTTCATTCAAAAGGAGCTAATGACTTTAGAGTGGGTGACCTGCTGTGTTTGATCTCAAACATTGAAGGAGGTGATGAAGTAGTGGAAGATCAACATGATATGCCTTCGTGTGAGTAGTGAAGACCATTGTAGATAAATAATGCTTAGTGTGTATTTCACCACATCCCAGAAATAATGTAAGAAGAAATATTGTAAAAATATTGTGTCTCTTCATTACATTTCAATATTTTCATACCATATATTAGAAAAATGCACTAGAAACTAGAAAGGTTCCAAGTATGTCAGTCGTTGTACAATAAGTCCAAGTAGATTCTATATGGTATAACATGGCCATATCATGTAAAAAATATACTGAGCAAAGTTATTTTCTGATATATATATATGTACCCATGCACTGATTTCTTTGGCCTGGATTTACAGCCAAATACAGACAGATTCCCCTGGCTAAAAAGTGCTTTATTTTCCCAAAATAAAAATAATAATCAGAAAGATAACATTATCTGCCCAAATTCATCAAAAATAATGCTGTAGGAAAGTTTAGGTTGAAAAATCACTGCTAGGGCAAATACATGTATTTATGTGATCTAACCAGAGCAAAGAGTCGCATCTGAATTTGTAAGGAATGCATGTATAACACTATGAATAATTACCTGGACCTAAGATAAAAAAGGTAGACATTACCGATGTTAACACAGCTCATTCGCTTTGATCACATAGAACAACAATAAGGGATGAGTTATTGGAAATAAATTAATGTGACCTTACAGACTTGCTTGTTTACGAATATTTTCAGGCTTATATAGTATACATGCATGTACCAATAATTTGGCTACCCTAGTCTATTTTTTGAAAGTTTAGATAAGTTACTGCATTTTTCTTTGGAAATTCTAAGATAGGTAAAATGCTGATTTAATGTCCACAGATGGTGAAGTGGAAGAAATGAATCAAGGACTGCTGTGTAGAATTTGTGTGGAGCAGCCTGTCACCACTTTATTACTGCCCTGTTTTCACCTGTACGTCTGTAAGGAGTGTGCTGATGGGATAGCGATCTGTCCTGACTGTAATCGGGAAACTACACCTGTCAGCTCTCCTGTACATGTTCTGGGTAGGAGTTCCTGATGTGTTTAAACACTTAAATCATCAATGGGTACTCCCGTCCAACATACCATTCTAGTCAAATTAAGTCTCTTGAAGTGAAGTGAGAGAGGAATTGAAATGATCATGCCCCTATCACTTATTAGGGGGGCATTAAGGTAAAGGGTACCACTGTGTTAGTTATAATTGCACAGAAGCGTTCCCCTCAAGAGTTTTCAGCTCATGCCATGGCACAGCGTCCGTCAATGTTTGTTTAAACGACTTCTTCTGAAGATCTGAAAGACCTAGAGTCATGATATTCGGCCAGTAGCATCCTATGATAGACACCAACAAAGTTTGAGAATGAAAATGACCTTGACCTTCTTTAAAGGTCACAGGGGTCAAATACCGGTAGTCTAAACTTTCAAACAACTTCTTTTGAAAAAACGAAAGGCCAAGAGTCTGTGATATTTGGCCAGTAGCATAGTTTTATGGAGTTCGACAAAGTTTGCAAATGAAAATGTCCTTGACCTACTTTCAAGGTCACAAGGGTGAAATAGGTCTAAACCTTCAAACGACTTTTTCTGAAGATCTGATTGCCCTAAAGTCATGATATTTGTCGAGCAGCATCCTATGATTTAACCCGATGAAGTTTGCGAATGAAATTGACATAGACCTATACTTTCAAAGTCATTTGTGCATCATGAGACACTTTCCTTATATGAACTTAGCTGTTGCTAAAACAATAAACAAATAACAACAAACAAAAAACTTCAACACAATTCTGAATCCAAAACATATCAAGTCCTGCTCCCCCCCCCCCCCCCCCCCCCCCAGCATCCTCTGTTTGAGTTCAACAACATTTGCACAGGAATATGCCCTTGCCCTACGTATACTTTCAAAGACACAGGGATCAAATAACAGTAAACCTTCAACCACATCTGAATATCCAATCAGCCAAATTTTACAAAACATTTTTTGATAATTTATCTGACACAGCTAATAGGGTAATAATAACAATCTATCCAACCAATTACATTAAAAACAAAACCGCAGTAAAAACCGTTCATAACCAAAAAATCTGTAAGTCCCAAGGATATACCCAGGGAGGCTATACCAGGGTGGACTGCTACTCTTTATTTATGTTTGTTTGTTCGGTTTTACTCTATCTACTTGTATACTCATAAGTACATAATATTCCCTCCCCCCATTTTTATACGACCGTCAAATTTGACGTTAGAATTATGGTATGGGGTCTTCCGTCCGTCCTAAACTTTTGTTTGTCCGGCAATCTCCTGACACTTTTTACCGATCTCTTTGAAACTTGGTATACTTTATAATCATGATATGAAGTTGTGTCTCCCTTAAAAGAATTTTAATTAGACGATATCTGCAAAAGTTATTGCCCTTTGTTCATTTCAGTATTTAATTTTTGTCCGGCAATCTCCTCCTACATTTTTCAACGGATCTCTTTGAAACTTGGTATACAATATATTCATGATATGAAGTTGTGTCTCCCTTAAAAGAATTTTGATTAGACGATTTCTGCAAAAGTTATTGCCCTTTGTTCATTTCAGTATTTAATTTTTGTCCGGCAATCTCCTCCTACATTTTTCAACAGATCTCTTTGAAACTTGGTTTACATTATATGAAGTTGTGTCTCCCTTAAAGGAAATTTTGATTCGACAATTTTTGCAAAAGATTTCGCCCTTTGTTCATTTCAGTATTTGATTTTTGTCCGGCAATCTCCTCCTACATTTTTACCGATCTCTTTGAAACTTGGTATACATTATAATCATGATATGAAGTTGTGTCTACCTTAAAAGAATTTTGATTCGACAATTTTTGTAAAAATTATTGCCCTTTGTTCATTTCAGCAAAATTCGACGATTTTTGCAAAAGTTATTGCCCTTTGTTCATTTCAGTATTTAATTTTTGTCTGGCAATCTCCTCCCACATTTTGCAACGGATCTCTTTGAAACTTGGTATACATTATATTCATGATATGAAGTTGTGTCTCCCTTAAAAGAATTTTGATTCAACGATTTTTGTAAAAGTTGACAGGTGATGACTATAATGTTCCAGTTTTTGACCCAATCATTACTGGTGCCATTCCCTCAACACTGTTTTAAATGGGGTCCAATATTGCAGTTCTGCAAAAACAAATGTGTAGGTTACAGCAGGATCTCTGTACAACAGCTAAATGTTGTAACTAAGTGTTGGAAACTAATGTTCAGACATGACTATAGCTTTGTTAAATCATTTCTGAAAAGAAAATCATACCCTGCAGGACTTTTTAACCTATCCTCATTAGAGGTTGGGCTATTCAAATCACCCTGCGTCCGTGGTCTGTGGTCCGTCTGTCATTCAGTCCGTCCTTAAACAATTCTTGTTAGCACTTTTTCTCAGAAAGAACTAGAGGGATATTTTTCAAACTTAACATGAAGGTTTCACATGGTTCCTAGTTATGTATATTAAACGAAAAAACCCACCTGGTTTACGACAGACGCCTTTTTGAATTGTTAGAGTTAAAGCTTGTTAGTGCTATTTCTCAGAAAGTACGTTGTATACTGGAGGGATCTTTCTCAAATTTCACAAGAAGGTTTCCAATGATCCTTAGTTATGCACATCAAATTTTGATACTGATTGGAAAAATCAAGATGGCTGATAGGTGCCATCTTGAATTTATTCAGTAAAAGTTTATGAGCACTTTTTCTCAGAAATTACCTGATGGATCTTTCTCATATTTCACATGAAGGCTCCCTGAGGTGGCTTGTTATGCATATCGAATTGTGACACTGATGGGATAAACAAAATGGCTTACAGGCAGCCATCTTGGATTTGGACAATGAAGGTTTGTTATCACTATGTATCAAATGTACAGTCCTCTTGGTCTATACTTGTGTATGTTTACTTTTAAGACTGATTTGATAAGGAAAATGGCTGACATGTGGCCATTTTGGATTTTGACAGTATATTTGTTATTGCTTTCCCCTTGGTCTTNGCAGTGGGACAGAGATCCTGAAACAGGTTTTTTTGTTACTGATAAATTTCATTAAAATGAAGTGATGAAAATTATTACAATAGATCTTTCAGTATTTGTACTATGGCATCATGATTCCTGGCAGTCAAACTGTGATGCAGAGAAGTCAAGATGGAAATATATGATTTCCTTTCCCTTCCCACCCCCCCAATTTTGAACTTGAAATTTTATGCTAAAATCATCTAGGCTTAAATTCCATTGTAAGTTTGAAGTTTAGTAAAATACACATTCAATATTTCTTCTGGAAGCTTGAATGGTGATAGTTTATCTAGAAATTTATGAGGAGGGCAAACCTTGTTTTATGGAAATAGAAACGGATCATTTTTTTTCAAATGAACTTTGCTTTACTTGTTTTTGATAAAAATGTTGGTGGAAATATTATCTTAACGTTAAATGGATGGGTATTGCAAGCAATTTTTATAATGCAATACTTAACTTTTATATCATTGTATGGCTATTGTATTCCTAGAAATACAGTACATATATAATGATGTTATATACAGAAAACATGACAAGCTTGAAAGGGTAATTAAGATTATGTAATATAGTTTAGGAAGTCATCAAACCAAGGAAAATGAATATGAATAATAAAGATTAAGTCTTGGTGTTATGTCTGTAAAACTGTTTCATTATGGTGCTTGAATCCTGAGGCAATAAGATGAAAAAAATGCAACATATTGCCATTTCAAAATCATTGTAATCATATATTGCTAGACAAATATTGCAATATTACTTCCAATCAGTTTGAATATAAATGAATATTTCTGCTGGGATGATGATATTTGTCAGTGTTTCTGAGGGGCTAATATTGAATGGAAGTCTAATATTGACTGTTCACCATTTTTAGTCTTGATTATTCTTTCAATATTCTTTGAAGATGCCAATAATTATGCTGTTCTCCAATAGCTTTTGTTCAAAAGCAGTCTTTTGAAAAGAAAATTCAGAAAAAATAACGGAATTAAATTAATTATGATTAATCTTTACCTTATACAAAAATTTCTCAAATAAACCATGACATATATATTTAAAATGTTTCAAAGGTGTTAAATTGATTCTCAGAAAACCTTTTTATTTACCCAAATGATAAACCCAATAGTCTAGGGCGATATATACCTGTTCATCATCAGGGGAAGTAACTTGTACTGCTGTCCTATGCAAATGTGGATAATATACTTGCATGTACTACTTACAAACGATCTGAATTTGCGGCTGCATGAAAATCCCGGTTGTAAGTGAGAAACAGAATGAACAGTTGCATAATTATGAGTGGAAAAATAACATATCATTAATCAAAATCATTTCTAATTTTGCAGAAAATTAAAATCTGTCTTTATTATTATTTATTGTAAAGTGTTTTCTTATACTAGTGTTGCTAAAATATTTATTCTACCTTCTGGTATGATCAATAAACTTTGGAGTTCTTCCCCTTTACTTGACATGGGGACAGATGCTACATGATTTATTTTATTAATATAGTCTTCCAATTCTAAAATTTTTGAATAAATTATTTTAACGCTAACTGGAGCAAATAATTTGTAAATGCAGATAAATTATGTCATCCCATATTTTCACTCTTTGAAGTTTTACAATTGGTTTAAAACAAGAATATTTTCATCATCTTGAGATATTGACAAGCTGGAGAGAATCAACCATTCTTTTGCAAAACAATTTTTGATTCTATGAGAATCATCAAAATCTACCTGTACCCATATATAAGAAGGGTGGTAATACCTGAAGTTGGTCGAGTCAGCTTGTAATAGGTTCTTGTGTCTGCATATGTATAAAAAAAAATGATACTTGATGAATTCCAGATACAAAATAACACATTTTGAATCATAAGTGTGTATGTATATATATATATATTTTAATGTGTATTAAGTAATTTAACCCCTATACTTATATATGATTCATAAATCCCCAAAACATGAAGTGATATTTTATCTATATTTTCTGCTATCAAAGAAAGCTTTACAATTTCTGAAGTATGCATTTGTGCAATAAATTTTTTCTTGTTAGTAATTTTACCGGTGAATTGATTAAAACAAAAAGTTCAGTAGAGCACAGGGTATTTATCCTAAGTCATGGTGATCTTGTGAATGCGCTGTAGTCTAGTAGTAGGACGCCAGGTTCCTTACTGAAGGGTCAAGGGTTCAAATCCATCATTGCACTGTGTTGTATCCTTGAACAAGATACTTTACTCCACTTGTTCCAGTCTACTCAGCTGTAAATGAGTACGTAGTTAAGCAGTGCTAGAATTGTTGAATGCTTGCTGTGAGCGCCGAAAAGGCAGCACCGGCTGCATGCTCACCAGGGAATTGAGATTATATTTTGGCTGGTTGCAAAGGCCCAATAACCATGCAGGGATAATAGTTCGTGAACTGCTTTGAGAACCAAGGTTGTGACAAAGATTATATCTTTTCCTGAAAGCAATACCCCATGCTCTACTGAACTAGTGTTTACCATCAGAATAATTTAATACTTATATTTATAGTCTTCGCTTAAAGTGTTTGTGTCTGAATGTGTTGTGTGAAAATCTTGAGTGTGATACAAAACTTAAAAATTCTGTTTTGTTTGTCAGATCAAATCGATGATCAGCCAGTTTTTTGTATGTTTTACAGCATGTTAATGTATTATGTTTATGTAACAGGAAAGAGAATAGAGTGCTTCCACCAGGGATCAAACCCTCGATCTCCATGTTCTTAGTCGGACGCTCTACTACTGAGCTAAAGGGAAATTCCCTCTAGCTCAAGGCTAGAAGACAACCGTAATCCTATGTACATTTAAAACCTGCCACACTTATCATAGGTAACAAAATAATTCTGTCAAAAATGTATTTTTTTGTCATAAAATCAATAGTCTATTATTGGTCAAATTATTTCCAGAAAATGATCTTTTAATTAATTTAATTATACGTGTTGTTCTCAGATCCATCAATTGTAATAATATAAAAACAAACCGACAAAAGACTATTTATGATTTGTAATGGGATGTGTCTCCAGTGCAGCGCTACAGATGTTATGTACTGTCTTGCAAGTGTAACTTAACTTGATGGAAGCATTAAATTGAGTAGGAAAGGAGGATGATGCTCAGTTTACCACAGACTGTAGATATCTTAAAGTAAGACTTTGTGGCATGATTGCACATTACAAACCTAGCGTGCAATAAGATCTTTCCTTTCAGTCTCAATTTGCGCTAGGTTTGTAATGTGCAATCATGCCACAAAGTCTTACTTTAAAATATCTACAGTAAGACAAAATGGCCTACATATTTACAACTAACAGATGATATGATACATTGCAAAGGTGCTCTTATATAAAATACCTGGCATTGCTTAGTTAGATTAATAATTTGAACCAGATTTTAAACTATAAAAAAGGTAGATAATGGTAATAAGAAATTCTTAGTTGAGACTATATATTTTATAGTTCTGTTTTAAACGTAGATCTAAAGAAGGTGACAGAATCATGTATCCTGCTCCCTCTCAAATAGAAAATTGCTTTGAAATTGTATTTTGTTTCTATTAATATTTCCAGTACTGTTGTTTACCTGTCCAACCCACCCTTGTCCTCAAACCTGATAATTTCTCGCCCCATAGTTCCAAATTATACATTCCCATAGTGCTTATAGATTTTTAACTAACTGCATTTATACCTATTTATACTCCCTCCGAAACTATTTTTATCTCCTAAATGTCCAGATGAAAATAAATTTGATATTCCATATTTTGTAAACAGAAGATGTTAAGTTTCTCCAATTTGATGTTATAGTGGTGAAACATTGTTAGAGATATATAAGTGTTATTTTTCTTCAGTACAGATTTTATATCCTCAAGCTGTTTTAATCCCCATCATTGATGTTATTTTACACTATGCACACAAGTTGCTTTTAAGGATTCTGTACATCTATGAAAAATATTACTATGCATACGCATTGGAAATTTATTTTTCAGCAAGACAATAGGTTTGATGAATCATTTGTGAAAAGAAAACCATACTTTGCAGATTTTTTATGAAGAAATATTAAAGATAAAAAAACAAACATTTGACCTATCATTTTGGTGGTTCTCTTGTCCCCTAAGGTACCCCAAAAATGTTACAGTACATGTAGTAGATGTACCTTGGCAAAGTCCCATTTTAGTTCAATTTAAAACAAAATTAAGTGGATATTACTGTTTGTTGAAAAACTGCTGTGGAACTCGAGTGTTTTGCCAGTAGTGGGCCAGGGATCATAAGACATATGTCTGAAATTGTCATTTTCTCTCAAAAAGTTTATAAATAAATATTTTTGAACTATTATGAACATTGACACTTTAGCACATTACCAATTCTAATTTATTACTTGCTCAGTCTCCACAAATTCATCTTTTTTTAACCCTCCTCTACTTTTCTTCAAAAGGGTAAATATATTTTGATACAGTGTTTAAAATTAAAAATCAAATTTATCACAATTTACCAAAGAACTACTTGTTAAATTATTCATTTTCTGATACGGGTATAGGAGAGTTTTTTTAAATTGTATGTTGGAGAAAAAAACTCATAGCACAGAGTGAAATATAAAATATTGTTTTATCTGTGGATGATATCTCAGTTTTATATACAATGTATGTTATACGCATGGTTGTTGAATGTTCTGTTTGACTGTAGTAAAATGGCTGTGACAAATATCATTGATATATGTTTTGATGTTGTTTTCTGTGATTTTGTCTGTTGGTGTTCATTTTTGCAATCGACCATAATTATCATTTCGTTACAACAGATAAATGTACGGTCGTGTTTGTTTTGCCTGTAAAATACGTACTTCTCCCCCATTATAAAACCAAAGGGGAAGAACATGTGACATGTCCCTTTTTGAAGTTCATGGTAATTATGTGTTTTATACAAGGGCGATGTAATTAAACAATTGATTATTTTAAACATCGAATATGTGAAGCAATTTTCTCATTTTTATGTCTATCTAACTTATTTGGTAAACTTGTAGTAAGCTTCCATTTATTTTGTGTATGAAAATGCTAAAAATGTTCACAATAGAAAGGGATAACGTACGATACAGTGAAATAAAATGTAAAACTGATTCAAGTTTTGTCTGTTTTTTAATCTGTTGGCAGTGTCATGGTTCATATTATACAGATGTTGACATAAATCTTGTTTAAATTTTTCAGCTTGATTTACAAGCTTTGTTTGTTCGAAACACATAAGTCGCCTCTAACGATCAAGCAGCGAGATACAGCAGGCCTAATCTTTCCTTGAACCTGCACGGGTTGCATGTTGTAAGGGATTTCTAATGTGGGAAACTCTATGATACGACACGAAAGCGACAAAATCATATCTGCTGCACCCATTGCAACATTTCAGATATTATATTTGGTTTCTCGAGCGTCACCCCGGCAGGTGGGGGATCGGGAAAAGAATACACCTGCTGTTACCCACTGCCTGTATCGTAGGAGGCAACTAATGTGGGAATCCCCTGCAGAATTGCCCAGGTGAGGAAGGCAATGGGTTCTGTCCCCCAGGCCGGGACATAACAAAGTACTTAAACATGGTAGTTGTTATTCTCTGCTTATCGTTCAGCATTTAGGGGAATGGCAACAACTTGTTTACCCGTTGTCAGTATAATGTGATCGGGCGGCATGCGGTGTTGGGTGCCTCTGGCATGGTATTTCAGTGAGATACCACTATAAAGTCGGCATCGGATCCGCGCTATCACAAGGAGGCAAGCACACCAACATACCATGTCATACACACACAAGCATGCATGCACTACACACATGGAGACATGTCCTTATTGACCTTAGCGGTTAATAGGACGTTAAACAAAATTAAAACAAACTAAACCAAACTTTCCCGAGCGCATTGCTTGGCAAAACTTTACTTTTGCCAGTTTGAGCCTATAGTGTTAAACGTTCGCACAAGTCTGAAAGGGAATGGTTCGTCCCAAGGCCGGCACATACTGAAGTCCCTTAAATAGTACTTACTATTCCTTGCTTATATTTTAGCATTTAAAGTAATGAACTGGTTAACCTGTTGTCAGTAGAATGGAACTGGGTTTATCATCTTATTAAGCAATAAGGCCATTAAAGGACGTTTCTCCGTACGTGTATTGTTTACATATGTTCTTGAGGCGGTATGTTGGTTTATTTTGCCACCTTGTGATAAGGCGGGTTTGATGTGAACATTGCCATCCCACTGTTTAATTTTTTGTTTCTTGTGTTACTTTATAACCCATAGATAACTTAATTCATTTTGTGCCAAACAACGCTACGATAGACGTTCACAATGGTTGGTTGTATAGGGTTTAGCGTCCTAACAACAGCTAAGGTCATTTAAGGACGTGTCTCAATGTGTGTTGTGTACTTTGTATACATGTGTGTATGTGTGCTTGTGACAGAGTATGTTGGTGTCGTTGCCTCCTTGTGGTAACGCGGGTCTGCTGTCGACTTTTTAGTGTTATCTCACTGAAATACCTTGCCGAAATGCTAAAGCAGGGATTAACAACTTCCCATGTTAAGGACTTGGGTAATTGTATGTCCCGGCATGCAGACAGAGCCCATTGCCTTCCTCTCCTGGGCGAATGTTCAACATCAAAGCCAAAAGTGAGGTATTACCAAGGAAGGCGCTAGGAAACGAAAGGTAGATCCCAAAAACATATTGCAATGGGCGCAGCAGATTTATTTTTGTCGCGTTTGTGTCCCCAAACAGGGGGCACAAAAGAACAGCCCGAATTCTGCAGGGGCTTCCCACATCAGTCGCATCTTACGATACCTGCAGTGGGTACCAGCTTGAGCAGGTGTATTCTTTTCTCGATCCCCGACTTGCAGGGGTGTCACAAATAAGAATACATAAAACTTGAACTAAATGGTTAAAATGTTTAAAAGATAAAAAATAAAAAATAAATTTTGGCATTACAATAAGAATGGATTAAGCTTTAGCATTATCGAGATTATCATTTTATGGTTTAATTGTAAAAGCGCCACGTTAGAAGAACATGAGAAACGTGCTGAAGGTAACAGAGCATGGTACAGATCTAGACTGTTCTATACATTGTAGGTAAATTAAAGCCTGCAATCACAAAATATGCAAATGTGTTGCAGCTGCTCTCCTACAAAATGGTTAAAATTTGAATATAATATGAGATTGGTATCAACCAATCAAAGTGCACGGTGATGATATAGAAATATATATTTGTAAGTTGTATAGCTACAAATGGGACCACGTCAAAATCGATGCTTTTGATTATCGCCAGTACAGATTAAGTAAACGCAGCTAACCATAGGCTCAGTAAAGTGTTTCCGTGCGTTGGTCACAGATGATGTCAAATAAACACATAATAGATTGAGGTGGTTACATAGATAATTCGCGGATAGTATTTGTCATCTCAAGATTGCGAAGCGACAGAAAAGTTGTTTTTATTAAACTGTAGTTTTTCATTGTGGATTTATGTCTTTTCCTAGCCTTTCAATGTTGTTGACTACTAGTTCCATGTCCTCCTCTGTGATGTCCAGATTTGAGAGTACCACGCGGAAGAAATTGACGTAGTCCCCAAGGGGCTGGTAGCCCACCATCATCGTCCCCTCCAGCATCATTCGCTCCTTGATAGCCGGGGCCACCTAAACATGAATTGAATCAGTCTACTAAAGATACGCCATCAATATACACGTAATTGTTTCTCTGTATTTAAAATCTGCAATCTATTGTTTTGTTTACAAAGTGTTTTTGGTTCAAAGGTTGTATTTGAATTGTTTTTGTTTTGTTTCCGGCCAATCGACGTTTTTAGTTGCTAAGGGCCAAAAATCGTTGTGTAGCGGTATAACGTGAACATAACTATCAAACGAAATTTTACTAAGTGGTTCATTATTATTTGTCTAGCTTATTCAATGTTTTTGTTTAACGTTGTTTCACGGCCCATCAGTGATTCGAGTGACTTAGGCCAAAACAACCACTAAAATAGACAAAATTCAAGGAATAACTCGAACTAAAATTAAAGGTAAACAAATGTAAAAAACCGCCCCAAAAAACCTTAACAACTTAATAGATGTCAGTAAAGTGATAGTTCAGGTGGCAAAATGCTTATTTCTATTGATGAATTATCTAGATTCGAATCTTTAATCACGAAATATTTGACTGTAAATGGTTGATAAAAAGCATGGCAATAAGGTGAGCGTCCTATCGTAAAATGTGAATTAGTTAGTAGTTCAACAGCTCAGCAACGGTAACGTCGTGTCGGGTCTAACAACAATAATAAAGACACGGATTCAACTAACTTCCCTAAAGGAAACTAAGAGGTTACATCCGCATACATAAGAAAGAGATAAATGGTCAGATACTTATATAAGAAGGTTTTTAGAATTTTTGATTCTATTGTATAGACCAATTTTACGAAGATTTTCAAATTTGATCTTCCATAATATTTTTTTTATATAATTATGACATGATCCATTTCGGCACATTCGATCAATATTTAAGGCACGAGGAAAGAGAAGGGAAGCGAGAAAAGAACAGATATAATTCCCATGTGTTCCAAAGGAGGTCCACGGATATCTTTCGATTTCTTCAAAGTCCCTTATACATACAAGTGATCTATATCTGTTCTTATCTTACTATCTTACTCTTCGTCTTTGGCGGAGTTCACCTCGGCACCCATCTTCGTTTTACCTCAGACGTTGCGAGGAGGACGTAACAACCCGAAAACAAACCTACGAAGTAATGATAGTCACCTGCGATAAACGCCTTTTCCAGCCATCGTTTTCCTCTTCGTTGCGCATGCTCAGTGGAACGTACCAAAAACATATATTGGTGAATTCAGGCTGAAAAGAAATATCTATTTCAATGATGCTGCGAATGAAAAGAGTAGCTGTATATATATGGTAGGGGAAATGATCATAGAGGTTTTTATTGCTGTAGCACGTGTACAATGTAACAAGTGTTGTAATAACACTTTCCAGTTTTGAGGTCTAGGCAAGTGACCGTTGGGTAATATATGTAATTTTATAACTTGTTCTCCATATTTTATTAACTGCTGTTTTTATTTTTTTAAATTATAAATAGCACGTTTTAATTGTAACGCGGACCGTTATAAAAAATTTCTCCATCAATCAGTCAGTCACAAAAAGTGCACTAGAAAGAATTTGCAATGCAATCATGCATTTACATGCTCAGTTTGAGCAAAATCAAACAGAGAAGTACCGAACGTTGGCATCACATTGGGTTACAAGGGTGCAAATCAGGTCACGGCATCACATATAAACTTGTCTACAAACGCCCATGTTATTTGTTTTTGGGGACATCAATGTATATGGGGGCATGGTAGTCTAGTAGTAGAACGCCGGGCTCGTGACCGAAGAATTGCAGATTCGAGTCACGGCACGGCACGGCACTGTGTTGTATCTTTGAGCAAGATACTTTACTCCACTTGTTCCAGTCTACTCAGCTGTAAATGAGTACGTGGTTGGGCAGTGCTAGAATTGAGAAATCTCCGGCTCCCCAGGGAGTTGAGAAAGATATTAGCTGGTTGCAAAGGCCCTATAACCACGGATACTAATTTGTGAACCACTTTGAGACGACCTACGTAAGAACCTCGAATTATTATTATTATTATATGCTATGCGTCGTTGCGTGCTCAAAAAGAAGTATTGGTTATCTCATTGCTAAGCCTGGCTGTACCTGAAGGAGAAGACGGAATCCCTCTCTGCTGTTAATGATTTTGCTGAGATACCTGCCAATGATATAAAACACGTCAGGACACATTAAAAACAGTTCATATCCATAGCAGACTCACCGCAACACCAGAATATTTAAATGTCTTTAAATCAATCCTGTAATCACTTATCGATGACCATGACAATGTACAAATTCAACGATTATGATCAAAGGTTAGCTATAACACTTCCGATATTTTGTCGATTTCTTAAAGTTCAAAGTTTTGAATGATATTATATGAAGTACAGTGACACGGAAACAAGAAACTTTTGTTGTTAATCTCCTTCCTCCTATTTGGGGTAGAGCTGCAATATATCTGTTTAGAAAATGTTAATATTAAACTGCATAGCCATATCAGGTCACATGGCGTTCAATTTATTCAACTGTTGATTTTTTTGCATCAACAACGTATTCACTTCTACTGAACATGCTACTTTCATACTGACCTGGCACAATCCATGGCATTGTTAATGGCACTCTCCAAGCGGTTATCTCCCTTTGACTTCCACATGACCCAGAGTTTCAGAACATCTACCTTGCGGCCACATTGGATAGACTTGTCACCTGTGTCGTATGACACGTCGTAAAACTTGTCCTGCTGGAACAAATACTCTGCCCTAGCGGAATGACTCTCTGTCAGCAGGTCCTGTGTGGAGAACAATTCAGAAATTGTTATTACAATGTAAATTAATCACGTGTAAAAGATGCCACATTGATTCCATTGTTTTTTTGCAACCATTACGAACCGCCATGCCATTTTCAATTATGATGTGTGTTGTGGTTTGAACATTACATGTTATTTAGCATATATATGTGGGACCGCACAACGCACCAAAAATAGCGTGCGCACACCGTGCATACATCGTTCACACACCGTCTGCACAACGTTCACACACATGGTGCGCACAACTGTGCGATTTAGCAATCGTTCGCCCCGTTGTGCGCTAAATCTCTCCACACAACTGTGCGATTTGGTATCATTTGTAGATCAAAATTACGGAATGACAAAAATACGGAAGGCTCGTATGCGATCACGTACACTGTGTATATATCTGTAATTTCTCATTACAATAAACAAGATTATACAATTTCACAATGCATGTTACCACGGAATTAGATTATCTAAGTCCGTGATGTTCACAGTATAACAGTGACCGTTAGGCTGTCAAGAATGGGTTTGGCTCCAAGGTAATAGAACAGGTAAATAACAATTTTATAAGTGTCCGGAGTTTTACATGACCAGTGCCTGACACACAGGGCTGATATGCGATACAGTTTGACCGTAATGAATAGTATTTGTTATTTGCATTCGTTTGCCTATAGCTCCCCTTCACCTGGATTTTCACATCCGGCCTTACCCGAGTTACGTAAGTGCCCCAGGCGGGGAGAAAACTACGGTCCAGGTACATGTACAAAGTGGTTATGTTTACCTGTATACGGGATTGTGTTGTAAATTTACATGTGTCGATTAAGTTTGTTTAAAAACACAATTTCTAAATATAAGAATGTATAGACAGAAAGATAAGTTTATAGATGTTGCTAGAATATAGAAACATACGTATACATCAAGTTTATATGTTTAAACACGAAACCGTATAAATTGTTAAGGCATTATATACTTACTCAATTTACACCAACCACGATTGTTATCGCACAACGTCCGTCCATCGTACGCACAGATGTGCGCAAGCAATGATCGTCCAGCTTTTTATCGTTCGCCCATCGTGCACACACCGTTCACACACCGTGCACACATCGTGCGCACACCGCACATCGTGTAACGTTGTGCGATCCCACAACTGTACTTACTTGACAAACCCAATTAGTTAATGTTATACCTTCTCACCAGTTTTATGAATGTTACTTTATAAACAAGAATTGTTTATATATTTTTCATATTTCAATATTCTTATCCAATGGGTCTTCTTAGAACGAAAAAGAACAAAATATATCTTCTCGATTTGAATAAAAATATAGTATTCATATAAATAAATGTTTCAATTAAGCAAAATAAATATATTTTTGTTAATTCATAAAACACGTGGCAGTTTGACTTTACCAATAATTCTTATCAAAAGATATTCTTCAAAATTCATTTATTTTGTTTTAATCTATTTCAGTCGTATGACTGTTGTTTTGTTTTATTTTCTCAGGAAACTTTGCTTGATTTTCTCATGAAACTTTGCTATATATTCTTTGCTTTGGTTATAAGTTGCTAAGGATATGATCATTTGAGTTATTTACCTTATGTTTGGTGAGGAACAAAGAACATTGGTTGAGAGCGCCCATCATCTTGTGGGGGTTCCATGTGAAAGAATCCGCTCTGGAAGTCAGTCAAATATTTATCAATATTTCCAGAACATATGAATAATGAAGACTTTACAGGTAAGTTTCAATAAGAGCTCGGCATGGATCTCTAATTAATTCATTTTTCTCATAATATTTCCAAAACTATCCCCCCTCCGAAACACACAAGTTTGTTACTTCATTTTTGATCAAACCTAAGCTATTCCTAGCTTATTTTACCTATTGCGTTTCGAAATTTATCAGGAAAACGGCTAACTTCCAAAAATGGTTTAAAGCAAATCCGCATGACGGCGCAGCTGAACTTATTACTCCTTTTGTTTTGGTTTGATTTGATTTTGTTTACCAGCCAAGGTCATTTAAGGATGTTTGTACGCGTGAATATTTTATTTGTCTGACGCTGCTCATTAATGCGCGAACCACGATTCAATATATGATTTTTTATCTCTAAATCTAATATTTTTTGATGTTTATAAACATTCAAATTACGCATTTTAAAAGAATGAATCGTTTTGAGATACATAGCGTCAGTTGACTCAAATAGAGCATGTTTTAGATATGATCAAATTACAATCATAAAATTAGATCTGGTACCTATATCTCAAAATGGTGACGGGTTCAGCAACTCCCTTTGTATTGATACAACTCTCATTTTGCATAAAACATACATGTCGCTTTTTTGCATGACATCGATCACAACGATTTTAGATATCTAGCTGGCTCAAGAAAAACAACAACATCACGTATTTTCACGATATTTCACTCGATAATTGAATAGCCGGTTTCATATACACGAATGCTACCAAAATAACGAGTTACCTCCCGTTGAACCATAAACTCATGCGTTTTACTACAGCTAAATTATAAAAAGCGTCCCTGTTTTATCGTGCTTTTAAATCATAAAATTTCTGCTATTTTAGATTTTAACCTTACACCTTAAAACTCAGCCATTGATCTTATTTAAAGATTTTTGTTTGTTTTGTGATGCTTAAAATGACTCCATGGCAATTAAATGAATCAATTCTGCGAATAAGTTGTTGAATTAATTACCGAAGTTCTGGTATTTTGTATTGATAATGACCTTCTTTGTTTTTATAACTGCACACTATTGTTAAACTAAAATTGTAAATATATAAATTATCGTACAGATCGATCAACCTATATACAATGTTTATTGAATTTGACTTTCACAGATCTCTCAAACACATTTAACAGTATCAGTCCACATGAAGAAACAGTTATAGAACCCAAGAAGTACTAAACCAATAATCACATGCGATTCATATCCTCATTTAATGACAAAAACGTAAACAGATATTGCAATAGGCGCTACGATATGACACGTTCTCTCTTTCAAGAAAACTGGAAAAGCAAAAGCTCATATAAATATCCCAATCTTTAGAGAAATGTTGTTTAAGACAAGTTTCAGGATTAAATGTGGTAGACTCTGCTTGTGGGGGTTTTAAGTGCTCGAGGTTTGATGCAGACCTGATAGCCACAGTTACCTCTTCTCGTTACATACAAAGCCTTTAATATGTGTTTAATTTGAAAAGTACTCCTCTAAATTTTGAAATCCTTGTATTAATCTCGCTTATCTTGTTTAAAACTCGACCTACCTTTCAATGCCCGACATGAGTATTCTATGTTCCTTCGATAAGAGAACAGCACCGCCCCAAGCTGCATCAACGTGCATCCAAATCCTGTATTTACAACAGATGTCAGCAATCTTGTCAAGAGGATCAAATGCTCCCAGAACGGTTGTACCAGCAGTCGCGACAACGCATACTGGTTCCTTCCCCTGTATTAGAACAGGTTTATTACAAAAGAAATTCATAATAGTAATATATAATAATAATACGAGGTTCTTATATACCGCATATCACAACCTAGTTCGTAGGTCGTCTCAAAGCGGTTCAAAAATATTATCCGTGGTTATATTATTATATTATATTATTATATTATCCTTTGCAACCGCCCAACATCTTTCTCAACTCCCTTGAGAGCATACAGCCGGTGCTGTCATTTTGGCGCTCACAGCTAGTATTCAACAATTCCAGCACTGCCCGACCACGTACTCATTTACAGTTGTGTAGACTGGAACAAGCTGAGTAAAGTACATGTATCTTGCTCAAAGATACAACACAGTGCCGTGCCGTGCCGTGACTCGAACCCGCAACCCTTCGGTCACGGGCCCGGCGTCCTACCACTAGACTACCGTGCCTCCATTAATAAAATTAACTTGCTTTGTTACTGTGAACGTGGTTTTAATCGAAGGCAAACATTGCTGCGTATCAGATCTTTATCGACAGTTTATTTCCTTCTATAACGTTTCAGCATAGGCATTGGTGAAAGATTGTCAATATCAAATACCTCCGCTTGAAGTCTGTTTATATTGTTTTCCAGGTCTGAAGGAAGCATTCTACCGCTGGCATCGCATTTCACCAAAACCACATTCTTCATACCAAAGCCTAGAAATGCTGCCCCTTTTCTTATACTGAAATGTGCCTGAAACACACAAGTGTATATATTATGTTGCATGATCAGATGAATGCTTTCGTTGAAATAAATGATTATACTTATTTAATCTAAGAATCATATTGGTCAGTAGCATTGGTGCCTATCGAGTATGACACTGGGTGACAATGTAAACAAGAGGCACAAAGAGCCTTTATCTCTTAGTCAGATTTTAAGCGAGCAGGGCAAAACATCATCATTAAACGTAAGTTATGTATTGCATACATTTTTGCATATGAAATCTCCGTTTCTGAAATCGCACGAAAGTTTTAAGCAAATTGTTTGTATCCGTAGGTATGTGTATATAGTGATGCAGATCATATCTGTTCCTCTTTTTGTCGGTCCTGCTTAGACATCTGTCTTTAATTGATCATAGCTGCTGAGAGGACGTTAGACCACACAGGAACAGAAAAACAAAAAACATTGTTCACATTCTGACTTCTACAAGACAAGTCTCATCAAATCAACTTATTTAAAAACCAAATCTAAGCTTAAAAAAGTTCAAAATATTTGGTTTGACGGTCTTATTGTATTTAAAATCGCTTTTCACGAAAAACAAGACGAGCAAACGCTCACATGAATATTCCTCTCCCCATCCGTAGAGGAACGGTGAACAAGACAAGTCTGTAATCAGCTTTAACCTTTTAAGACCAAAGGCCACCAAATTTGTTCAGTGTAGATTTTAGGTTGTTTTGGTTTCATTAGGTTAAACGTTCTATTAACAGCTAAGATAATTTAAGGACGCGCCACGATGTTTTTCATGCATACTTTCATACATGTATGCGTGCTAAAGGCGGTATTTTGGTGTATATGCCTCCTTACGATAACGAACATCTGATGCCGACTTGATAGTGCTACGTCACTGAAATAACATACAAAATGTACTCAACACAGTATTCAGTCCGGGCGCGTCATACTGACAACGGGTAAACTAGTTAGGGCCCCGTATCGGAGATACGTTTGCCCTATAGTAATCTGTCTGTCTGTCTGTCTGTCCGTCCACAAATTTTGTTCCTGGCTGATAACTTTGGTATTTATTGACCGATGTACATGAAACTTGGTCAAGATGTTTAGTTCACAAAAATACACATTGAGGTAAAAAGGTCAAAGGTCAAGGTCATTAGGTTCAAAGGTCAAGGTCAAATTTTACATCTTTTCACTGATGAACATTTTGTTATGACATTATGAAGCAAAGTTGATCAGAATTAAACAAGGAGTCAACTGACCAAAGGTCAAGGTCATCGGGTCAGGGGTCAAGGTCAAATTTTTGTATCTTTTCACTGGTGAACATTTCGCTATGACATTATGGAGCAAAGTTGTTCGAAATTAAACAAAGAGACACACTGAGGTAGAAAGTCGAGGTCAAAGGTCAATGTCATTATGTTCAAAGGTCAAGGTCAAATTGTACATCTTTTCACTGATGAACATTTTGTTATGACATTATGAAGAAAAGTTGATCAGAATTAAACAAGGGGTCAACTGACCAAAGGTCAAGGTTATTGGGTCAAAGGTCAAGGTTAAATTTTGTATCTTTTCACTAGTGAACATTTCGCTATGACACTTTGAAGCAATGTAGCTCAGATTAAACAAGGAGTCAATTGACCAAAGGTCAAGGTCACTGGGTCAAAGGTGAAGGTTAAATTTTGTATCTTTTCCTTGATGAACATTTTGTTATGACATTATGAAGCAATGTTGTTCAGAACTTAACACAGAGTCAACTGACCTTAGGTCCAGGTTACGGGTTTCAAAGGGTCAAGGTCAAGTTTTGTGTTTTCACTGATGAACATTTTGTTATGATATTAAGGAGCAAAGTTGGTCGGAATTAAAGAATAAGTCAACTGACCAAAGATCAGGGTCACTGGGTTAATGGTCAAGGTCATTTGGGTCCAAAGGTCAAAGACAAAGTGGATCTCTGACTTTGACCCTGGCTCTTGATGGAGGAGGTATATAAGGTTAAATAAAACAAATCAAAGCTAACAAATGAGTATTGCACCGGTATTTACATTTCTGTTAGCCCAGCAAATATGGAGGTGGAAGGAAACCAAGACTCACATCATAGTACATGTAAAATGTATATTTTGCTTCCTTGCGATTCTTTTTGAAGTCCACATATCAAACGTCAAGCTCAGCTATATGGGCAGATTGCTTCTTGATGATTATGGGGGATATATTGCCACAAGACGGGGCCTTACTGACCTGTCAGTGTTCTAGTTGTTGCTATTACCCGAAATGCTGAACGTTAAGCATGGCACAACCACCACCATTGACCACATACATGGACAAAACATATATACCACTAAGTGTCATAGTTCTCTAAAAATAAGCATAAACAAATGTACGGCACAAGCGATCTCAAGTGTCGAAATTAATGATGCCAGAATATAATTAATTCACTAAAGGTTACAGCATATCAATGCGAACGTACCTGTTCTGATGTTAGAATGCACAACGATGCATATCTCGACATACCGTCCGTCTTGACTTCTGGATATTTTTTGCACCTGGCCAGGTTCAATCCATACATGTTCGCAATAGACCCACCTATAAAAGATACCGTCACACATGTTTATTGCATGCTCTCGTAATACATTATAAGAGATTATTGTGAAATTCATTTTGGAATTATTCGTCCTATAAATAGCGAAGTTTGACCTTAATGTGTGTAATGTATGCGTAATTGAGTCGGTATGTTGGTGTATTTGCCTTCCTGTGATAGCGCGGATCTGATGCCGACTTTAGACTGCTATTTCATTGATTTCAGCACATAGACATATGCATACATTACACACATGGAGACATGTCCTGAATCTACCTAATCTGTAACGTTAAACCGTATAAAACAAAACCATATCAATCCTGTCAGACTGAGTCTGCTATGGATATGAACTGTTTTTAATGTGTCCTGACGTGTTTTATATCATTGGCAGGTATCTCAGCAAAATCATTAACAGCAAAGAGGGATTCCGTCTTCTCCTTCAGGTACAGTTAGGCTTATCAATGAGATAACCAATACTTCTTTTTGAGCACGCAACGACGCATAACATATAATAATAATAATAATTCGAGGTCAGAAGGTCAAACTATCTAGGTACGTCATACATCATTACATACTAAGTGTATCCTTGGTCTGTCCACAGCAGCAGATGAAAGTCAGTCGTGGGCCATTACGAATATATAGTTTTTATCATGAATAATAATATTATAGAAAATAAATATTAACAGAGACTTTAATAACCCATTACACGATTTAGGATTAAGCTGTTTGGATACGTTTTTAATGCCATTTTGAATATCAATGATGGTTGATGAAAACGATTTGACTTTTCCATTGACTAAAATCAACATGTGGGTGTTTTCATGGACCGAAGTAACCGTGTGAGCTACGCATATATATACCTGGACAGAAAACACCATCCCCGAACTCCATTCCAGCAAGTCCAATCATCTTCTTGACAACGTACTTTTCCATGACAGTGAAGACAGGAGCAACCTCATAGGTAAACCTTGGAAAAATAAAACAGAAGGTGTACGTAAGCAAGTAGGAGGTAATCATACTTTAATACCTGTTTTGTAACCGATGTATCTGATATGCATCCTCAATATCCAGGGATTACGCTCACTTTCGCTCTCTGCACCCCTGGAATATATCATAGCAAAATTGTCTTATCAACAAGGTGGCGCACACTGAGCCTTCAATTTTGCTATGAAATATTCCAGGGGTGAAGAGAGCGAAAGTGGGCGTAACCCCTGGGTATCGAGGATGATTCCAGGGGTACAGAGAGCGAAAGTGGGCGTAACCCCTGGATATCCAGGATGTCTTATATGATGAAGAAACCCTCCTTTGTTCAAATTGTTCTACACTACTTTTCCCCATCCATACCCTTTCTCAAATATTGCAAAGTAACCAATTCTTCTGATTCAAAATTGTACACTTCGTTGCAGGATATTTCGTCCCTGACTTTCGGTTAATGTATCCCTGCTGTATGAATATATTTACCAAATTATAGAAATTGATCAATTAGTGAAGATGGTGCTAAACACTGAAGTGTCGTTTCAGAAGTTAGACTGCATACGTAACAAGTCCTCATCCTACAGGTCACTGTTGATAGATGTTCCATCCCGAATACTTTCTTACATGCCTTGCATACGTGAGATCAAGAGTAAAAACGTAAGTAAGGGTAAGAAAAGGAAAAGATAAGACCCACATTGTCGCACTTTGGTACGCTTTACACATTACTGTTGTCAATCTGCAATTATACACTGGTCATGTTTTGCAATTGCACATTGGAAATCCCTAATAAAAAATATATAGAGGAATTGCTCTTCATTTGCCCCCCCCCCCCCCCCCCCCCCACCATTCTGGTGTTGTTGTTCCTATCAAACAAAGCTCTACTCTACCCACTCGACCGTAGAGAAGTTGTTCTCTCAAGACTGTACATGTGTATATATAGGCCATACCTACATTACAACGCTCTCATTATACGATTTAAAAATCGACCTTACTGCCTAGCTTGTGACCACCCCTTCACTGTCAAACACTTTATGATCGAATGTGTCGTTTTTTTAGACATGTGATAAATTCTACAATGTAACAAAATAAAAATTAAATGTTTTAATGCTGATTATGTACCACTAATACAGATTATTTACATTCAATTTGTTGTACAGAAAGTATATGATATCATCTTTAACCACCCATTCGTTGGATTTTAGAGATTTGTTATTTTTTATTAGTTTTTCAACATTTCAACCTTTTAGCTAGATTTTAATATTCCTTATGTGAACGGCTGTTTCTAATGTTATGTTGCCCTTAATTACTTCAACTTTCGATGGGCCGTGAACAATGCAAAAACAAAACCATGACAAGGTAGCTCTATTACATGTAACCAAGGTAGGAGAGCAATGGCAAGTAAAAGTCGACAAATGGACGGACGCTACAGGGTATGTGTCATAATACAACCCATCGTAGACGAACATTTAGTAAACAAATGACTGAAAGCTGGTTTAAGCTAGAGCTTGTTTCCACAATGTTTTCAAGTATTAATAAAATCATTCCTTCTCTTGTTCAGAATTTTTAAAATATCATGACCGTTAAGATTATGAGAAGATATTATTCATAGATATTGCCACTAAATGACCACTTTTATAGAAGTAGGGTAAGATTCTGAATCACAAGCCCACTGAGACACAAGCCCACTGAGGCACAAGCCCACTGAGACACAAGCCCACTGAGACACAAGCCCACTGAGACACAGGCCCACTGAGGCACAAGCCCACTGAGACACAAGCCCACTGAACCACAAGCCCACTGAGGCACAAGCCCACTGAGACACAAGCCCACTGAGGTACAAGCCGAGGTACAATGTATTCAAGTTGTGGGTGATTAAGTACTCATTATTCCCTTTTTTTTATTACTTTGAGGTAACTACCACCAAGGAACCCTGGATCACTGAACACCTACGGAGTAATAAGTACTAAATAACTCCCATATGTGTCTATATCAGTACCGTCTAGTCTATGGGAATGCCAAAAACTAGACTAAATCTGTATAACCAGGAAGAAAAAAAACCCATATAATTTATTTTGTACAAATGGTGGGGCTGAGCGGCGGGGTCAAAATAGGGCAATTTGGCTATATTGCTATAAACGACCACCTCTGTAGAACTATGCCATGGATATCAGTCATGTTTGGTCGGAGGCATTCATGGGAGGCAGGGATTCAAAATTGTACAAACCCCCGGCTAAGGGGTGGGGCCAACAAAAGTTTATTACTTGGAAATGGTTGAGATGCCCACCGTATAACCATATATACAATTACTGAGTATGAGGAGAAGAATGCGCATTTGCTTCCGGGATGGCCCTGGGGTCTGGCCCCACCCTTGGAGACATAGTCACTGGCTCATAACTTTACAATGGTTGAGATCCCCACCCCAAAACTATTTATACAAATGCTGGACATAACATAACATAAACAAATGCAGCCATGATATTAGAATAAACCCTGGGGTCTGACCGAACCCCTAGGGACCTAGTTTCTTAGTCACAGCATGGAAACAGATGAAATCCCAACCCTATAACAACATATAAAAGTGTTGAGTATTAAAAGATGAATACACATACGCTTCCAGGATGGCTTTGGTCTGCCCCACCCTTGGATACTTAACCCATTGGTCATAACTTCGAAACGGTTAAGACCCCCACCCCATAACTATATATACAATTGTTGAGCATACAGAGACGAATGCGGTCATGATATAAGAATTGACCTCAGGGTCTGCCCCATCCTTGCAGACTTAACCCCTAGGTCATAACTTTGAAACGGTTGAGTTCCCACCCCAAAACTATAAATACAAATGCTGGGCAAAAAGAGACAAATGGAGTCATGATATTAAAATAGATCCTGGGGTCTGGCCAAAACCCTATGGACCTAGTTTCTGAGTCACAACTTGGAAACAGTTGAGATCTCCACCCCATAACTATACATAAAATTGCTGGGCATGAACAATGTAATACAGATATGCTGCAACGATTAACCGTGGGGTCTGGCCTATTCTCTTGGATATCATTTGGAGAATATTTTGCAATGATTGCATAGATATCCAGGTGAGCGATACAGGTACTTTGGGCCTCTTGTTTGCTTATCTGGTCCAAAGGAAAGACCTGTGAGCTAAATAGGCTGTACTATGGCATCCGTCTGACCGTCCATCAACAATTTCTTCAAATTCTTTTTTAGAACATTTCAAAAGTATTCGAAGGTGGTGACGATTCACAAAAAATGTTGAAAAACTGCAGCTAAACACCCAAGGGATTGAGTGTAGGGGCAAAAAGGGGGTTAATATTGCCATATTGTTTTAAATATTTTCTCTTGTAAAACTATGAGAATGATAATGGGATAGCATCCATATTTGCTTGGAAGCATTGTGAGAAAGTGGGAATTCAAAATTGTACAAATATAGAGGCCAAAATCCCCACAAAAACTCCACATTGCTGAATGGCCTTCTACTAGCATAGAAGCAATTTGATCAAAGTGGTTCAGTGTTCAAATTTAACGGTTAAGACCCATAGGCAATCATAATGGTGTGTATATGGTGTTTATATTTTAATTCTAAGACTGAGTGATTTAACTGAATTCTTCTTTGAATCTTGGACAGTTATTTAAAGTATATATATATTTATATTAACATTCCCTTAATTTTGTTTTGGGTATGTATAACTGTAGCTAAAGTATTGGTATATATATACATTAACCTCCCCTTCATTTTGTTTGGGTATATATAACTGTAGCTAAAGTATTGGTATTTATACATAAACCTCCCCTTAATTTTGTTTTGAATACATACATTTAGCACATTTGGGCCAGAAGAGTTCCAATGAGTATGCAGCTCAATCAGCTCAGTCTGCTATATATATATATAGTGCAATCTGAAGTCCAGGGTTCAACTCCTGCTTTTTATTATATTGACCAATATTTCAAATATCTTCTTCAGATTCAGGTGAACTGTTCATGGACAGAAAGGTCCCTAGGTGTTTTGTCAAAATTGCCCCCATAGTCATCAGGTCATCCTTTGGGAAGGGGTATAGTTTACTATAGTTTATATAGGGAAATGATGTTTTACGGCATATTTTGTTTTTAACTCTACAGGAAATAACTCAAATTTGCTTGAAATAATCATGAGATATCAATTTGATGCTATCAGAAAGTAAGATCCTGACTCACCCCTTGGTCGGAGGGGCAGGGCCCATTGGAATATTGGCTAAAATTTTAAAAGTCTTCCTCTCTAGACTCCGATTTGCTAGAATCCATTACTTGTACTCTTGATAGACGGAAATGTCCATACATGCTTTATCTATATTGTAAAGTTTATTACCCAAAGGTCATCTGTTTACCCTTTGGAAACGGGTAGATTTTATAGATAATGTATATTAGGTAAAACCCATTGGGTACATTTTGTCCAATTTCTAACATTATTATTAGCTTTCTGGTATTGTAAAATGACAGTCAAAGATCATTTGAAAATGTTCATACATTGTTATTTATTACTATCTAACATAGCATTATTAAACACTGGACTTTAATTAATTCCGTAATTTTACCTGTACCAACAAGACATATATTTTCTTAATTCACAATTAGATATAGATCTAACACGTGATATTATTAGCTTTCTGGTATTGTAAAATGACAGTTAAAGTTCATTTGAAAATATACAAACGTGTACATTGTAATTTATTCCTATGTAAAATAAAATCATTTAACCATGGGCTTTAATTATAAACTAGCAATAATCAAAGGATTTTACTTTTACCAACAAGACACATTTTTTTAAATTTACAATAGATATGTATCTTACACATGTTATATTATTAGCTTTCTGGTATTGTGCAATGACAGTTAAAATTCATTTGAAAGTATTCATACATTTTAATTAATTCCTCCCTAAAATATATTAATTTTACCTGTCGACAAGACACAAATTTGTAATATACAATATTTTATTATTAC